TCGGTTTGAGATACGAATTTTTGAATTCAAATGGTTACACTTTTTTGACCGTTCCTCTTGGTGATCTCTCTGTTTCCTGCATTCGTCGTCCGGCGTGAAAGCCTCTCGGAGTGTTATCCCGTGCGTGAATCTGACTCGACGATGAACACCTCGAAAGAATTCGTGGAGGCCCGAGGTCCCCGCTTTGGTCGGTCGGATCCCTGGACCGACCCGGAGGGCTATTACAGGGTTACTGGCATGGACGACATCCTGGGACGGGCTCCGTTCTTTTCCCACGTCAAACGCTCCACGAAAGATAACAAGATGATGACACTAGTGTGCAAATCCTACAGAGGGGAGGGATGCCCCGTGGTTGCGGAAATAAGAGAGAACGGTGAAGTTGTTGCACTCACGGGGTACACGACCACGTCCCTGTCGCAGAGGGTCATGGAATCGAGGTACGGCATGCTCGCACAGAATGGATCGGAGACATTCTAGACCATCCTCGCAAGCGCCCCTCTAACGTGATCATGGAACAGCGACGGAAGCTTCCTCGAAAAGCTGCATCTCAAATCGTACCTGTGGAGCACGACCGTACGTGCCGCTTCCACGAAGGGGAAATGAGGCCTCCGCCACCTGATAGTCTCGGTAAACTCTTCGAGGAGCTTTCGACGAAAGAATATCCGAAATTCAACGTGACTGAGGATGGCGAGGAGCTGCTCTCCGCGGAAATAATTCACGCGAATGCGACATATGTGATCTGTCCCAAGCAACTTTGCAGACAGCACTTTACGGTCCACGGTAATTGGGGGAGAATGGTCGGGATCGTGGCGTGTGCACTTATGGATAGATCTGACGCTGAATCCTACCAGTGGGTTTTTAGGCAGTTGAAAGATGCTGTTCCGGGACTCACGGTAGCGGCATTCATGGGAGACTGGGACTGTACAATGAGGAAAGCTGTCCGTTCAGAATTCCCGCACGCCCACGTTTACGGTTGCCATTTCCATTTTGCACAGAGCCTCGTTGGAAGAGCTCGACAGTCGCCGTCTGGCTTGGGGCGTGAGATACGAAAGCCAAGTTCGATCCTCGCACATTTCCTGGTATCTCTGAGCTTGCCTCTGCTCCCCCGGGATCTGATCATGTCCACCTACGAAGTCCTCGAAGCCCGAGCGAGGCACGCCCACATCGGCTTTCCTGAATTCCTCGGATACGTCAAATCCCAGTGGTTACGGAGAATCGGTCCTGAAGACCTATCCACGGCCTTCGTCAGCGGACGAACAATGACGTTGGAGCGAATAACGCCAAACCGCTCCGAAAAACCGGGCGTCACGGTCCAGTGTGGTCGCTCTTGGCGACCATAGCGGAATTCGCTCAAGACGTCGTGGTGGACAAGATTATACATTCGAGAGGTATGCGTCTTAAGAATATGCTCTTTGAAGAGCATATTCCTTCTCGACCAAAGAAGGCGACGAAATGGAATAAGCTCAGAGTGAGTTCATCCTGAGAGCTTCTGGAGCGCGGAGAGATCTCGGCTTCGGAATTCATCGAGCGAGTGAAATACAAGGTTGGAAAAAAGAACACATGCTCACCCTCACCGAGCAGGGCGAGAACGTCGACCCGATGCTCGAAGCTTGGTAGAGAGAGGAATGCTCCAAGTTCCCTGAAGTCAATTCCGAGATCGACATAGGTGTGATTGGTGACCACACCTTTGCGAAGAAACCAAATCGAGGCCGACTTCGTGCAAGTCTCCGGGATGAGCAAATCACCGACGGCGAAAGACGTCTTATCGAAGATGCACCCACGGAAAGTCTTGAAGTTTCCGAGGACTTACCTCTCTCCAGCCTGTCAGTCACCGAGAGCGATATTTTTTTTATTAGAAGTCCGGCGGGAACCAACTGGCTGAATGATGCGATTATGAACGGATATCTGAAGCTAATCGTGCTTCGAAGCAAGAAAATGCCGCAGCTACCCAAGGTGTATGCATTCTGTACGTTCTTCGTCGAATGCTACAAAAGACATGGTTACGCCGCCGTTTCTAGATGGACGCGCTCGGTAGACATTTTCGATCACGACACTCTTTCCATCCCCGTACATAAGACTAGCCATTGGTGCATGGCCACGATCGATCTTCGGAAGAGAATCATCAAGTATCAAGACTCTCTAGGAGGAAGGAAGGAGGAGTTCCTGACGATCTTGCGCACCTACTTAGCTGAAGAAATGAAGAATAAGCAGAATCGCGGGCTAAATCTCGAAAATTGGAGCCTCGGACCCTGTAACGATGCATTGGATAATGATGAATCTCTATCTGTATACTTGTATCCATTATCAATAAGAACCAAACAGAGAATGTGATACTGTCATTCATTGTTTTAGCATTTTTTTGGCAAAGGATGGAACCTCTCGGCGGCCAGGCGGACTCTGAACTCTGAAGAAAGCTTAGGACAGGTCATCAACGGCATTACAAGCGAATCGGAAGGGGTTCACGGGGGAGTTGCAAGTGCCTCGTCACAGATTCCGATCGCATCGAACTCAAGAGCTCCGGACATCTCAGTCTCTGTTGCAGGCCTTCTCTCGACCACCTCAACTCGAGATTTACACTTTTCCAATAATTCACGGAACACGGTTCCTCCGCGGCATCTCCGAACGCCCGCTCTCTCAACTTGCTTCGGGATGCGTTCATCCACTTATATTGAAGTACAAAAACCGGGCTAAATGCCGAGAGTCGTTCCTGTGGGGTCAGAGCAAATGGAAGCCGAGTCAAGTCGAGTTTGACAATCCAGGCGTAGCGCGGGACCTTGGCAATAGCATCGGTGAGCTCGTGGCTGAGCGACTTCGAAAGCCTTTTCGCCCTATACTATAGCCGCCGCTGAGATTCTAGCGAACGTCGCACCGGGACCCGAACTCTGACCTCTGATGCGACTCCCCTCGGGAGTCAGGAATTCAAATATACGCGCTCTATCTTGGCGCCATTGTTTTCCATCTGTCCGTAAGAATTCGAGAGTTTGAGAGGACCCCTCGATGATGGACTTGAGCGAGCGATGGACAAATCCGACAATATTCCATCGACGTCTTCCACTGCGAATGGGAAGTTTGCCGCCGGTCGGGAGAAAGCGCTCCTCAGAAAGCTCTACGCTTACGCCGAGACCACGAAACCAGCAGAGTCGGATAGCTCGAAGGATTCAAAAGCTCAGAGGAACAGGTCTAAGAGCTTGTACGACAATCGAGGGAGACTCATCAGCACCGGAGCGGATAATTGCGACTGTCTGATGGTCAATTGTCGCGGGTGCTTCTATCCGTGTCGTCTATGCGAATCTACGAAATGTGGTTTAACTTGCCGCGTGAATCGAACATTCACCTATGACTCAGTACACGTGGACGGTCATGAGAAATCCGCATTGGAAAATCTAGTAGATTCATTCTTCTCTGAATAAGTAAATAAGTGCTCGGAACAATCTCTCTGTTCCAATACCAATGACTCCCTCGTTCATGTTTCGCGGCGTATGTGTGGATTGCAGATTCGGATTCCGGGTGCATTTCGGGTCTTCTGGGGCGGGCGCATGGCCCCTTGGTCGATTGAGATCTTGCGATACGCGAAGTTATAGAGGGAACAGAAAGAGCGACTGCTGGAGTTGCTGTTCGGATCCCGAGACTCGTCTGTATTGTGTGTATTTCCAAGATGCCCAGGATATGCGAATGAGATACATGAGATATGTTCCGGACTCACCCGCTGAACTTCTGTTGGACCAGAAAGAGCGAGAACACTCTGCCATTCGGAAGGAATAATAATAATAGATGGAGTTTACCATGGACCAAGTTTTTATTGTCTGAGTCAAGAATATCGATACGAAGGAACAGCTCCTTATTGTGTAAAATCTTCCTAAAATGTTATCACATTCGACATGGGCACAAAGAGTCTCAAAAGCGACTGCATCATAAGACGGCTTCCAGGTGATCACAGATTTCACAAGCAATGAACAAATCCCCGTCCAGAGAGATGATTTCAGCTTGATGGGCACAACCTGGAATGCATCCGAGTCAGTGTTGGGGCATGATTTCTGAAAACCTGTATATTCCCGGCGGAGTCGAGCTTATTCTTGCCTCGATCCAAATGTTGCCTATGGGCTTTCCCCATGAATTGTTGAAACTCATCCCATCCCACTCGCGTGTAGAAATCACAAGTCTTGCATTCGACGGGCCGAACTTCGTCAATCGACCCGAGCTCCTGGCCGCATATCGGACACGGGCACTCAACTTCGTCCGGCTGCAATATGATTCGATTTTCCGATAAGGCCCTTGAGGGATGCTTCTTGGATATCAAGACTTCGAATATTCTCGTCAAGTCGGATCGTTCCCCGGGGAATACCTCATTGAAGAGGTGGTTGTACTCTTGCTCGAGCTCTTCCCCCAGCAGATCTTGCTCTAATTGTAGATCTTCTTCGAGCTGAATATTCTGCATCACCGATTTCCTTGCTTTGTCGATTCTGTTCGAGCGGGCTGCCTGAAAAGATATTCAGAGCGATGGATATGCCAGTACTCGCTCCCTCGGCCGAGTCTCCGCGTCAGCTCGAATCGATCTTCGCCTAGGAACAGATTAATTTACCTCTAAACGGCGCAGTTTTTGAGCTCGAACGACATCTTTCCAGTTGCTACCCTTGCTCTTGAACATTTCCCGTCTTTTATTCGCTGTCTTATGAGATGTCATGTCGAATCGCGGTAGACAATCGCTGCTGACTTGTCAGAAATGCCTGTCGCTCCTTGAGTCGGGAAGAAACGTCTGAGGATTCAGTGTTCTCTGAAGCCTGGGACTACTCCGTAGATGCGGGACCTGGACAACCTCCTGGTGGAGCATATGTTCCCCCAAGCGTATTTCTGACAGTCAAGGTTTAGCGACTTGTTGAAAACACCCGAACGGGTCTCGCGCGGCGCGGTCTTCTCCCGGACTTCCATAGAAGCTTCAGTCAGAGACCACGATTTCGATGCCTTTCGTCAGTATCGCGAAAAATTGCAATCTGTGCCTTGAATGAGCCCAGTTCATGGATTTCCCCCAACTTTCTCGAGATTCGAGAGTGGGTAGAGGCAATGTCACTAAAATTTACCATCGATGCAGCCCGCTGACCGTGAGCTCGGAGGTTCAAGGGAGCGATGTAAACAAACAGACCAGAGACATGTGCTTCGGGAGGAACTTCTATCTATTGATGGAATTGTGTTCGAAAAGTTCTGGGACAGTGTGAAATCGAATAAAGAAGAGAACAGAGGACAAGCGGATTCCTAACGATGGGAAAGTTGACGCCGAAAAAGAACACCCAGCAACAGAAGAAGTCGAAAGACCTCCATCCGAACTCGAGAAAAGTGAAGCAGCTGGCGAAGAAACAACTGCATAAGATAAAGGTGAGCTGAAGTGGTGGAGATTGAATCCTCGCGGGGAACCTGCTGCCTCCGATCGAGCCTTCTCTAATGATATCTCTGGCATATGAAGCATACCTCCCCATGAAACATGAGGAATGATACTGTCTGCTGTGACTCTCCGGAGGGTTTGCCTGTCACTGTCGAGCCACAACGGGGCGATCGAATGTTGGATTTGAACCGTGAACCTCGTTCGTCGTCGGGTAATGTACATGATGTGAACAGGATCAATCTTCCAGATCCAGCAGAGGCGATCCGAAGCCTCGAATAAACTCAAGCCCAGGATGGAGAAATTCACTTTCTTCCATTCCTGCTTGCCTGAAGGAGTCAATCGACTCGGTGGTCCTGAGGTAAGATATCTCCTTTATATGACTTCTTGTGAGAATACTTCGCGAAGAGCCGAGTACTCGGACCTGAAGTGATACTTTGACGAATTGCAGGTCAAGGTTCTCATAGATGGATACTTCAGTCGCTTCGATGACGAAATCGCCAAGGTGAAAGAGGTTTCCAAGATTCGAGGGAGCTCGACGCAATACGCTGCGCGCCTCGATGCCATAAAAATGACGCTGGAAAATGAGCAGCAGGAGTATCGCAGTGCTAACTTCGAAATACCCGACTTGTTTTCAACGGAGAATTTCAAAATTTTCCGAGAGTGGGACCTCCGCGAGAGCTACCTCCCTAAAATCAGAACGAAGCTTGTTTCCCCTGGTGTACTCGGTAATTATCCATAATAAACCGTTTTTGTTGACTTGGGGCCATCTCGTCTCTCCCGCAGAGCGGTTCTAGTCAGCGTATTTCCGTAACCGTGACCGAGCTCTGGACTCGATTATACGGATCCCGGAAGACCATGAAGGCTCACCAGACCTGTTCTTTCGAGACTCTCTCTCCCGGAGCGCAATACGTCGCCCACCCACTCCTCTGCCTCAGGTGATTCCGGAGGATCCAAATGATGTATGCCACAAAGACGCTGTCGCAATACGCGAGAAAATCACAGCGCCTCCTACGCGTGGATACCGTAAAATACCCAATACAAGCTCGGGCGTCTATTTTTTTCGAGAGCCTCTTGGGAAGGGCCTATATTGGGAATGGGTTTCTATTGGGGAGGGGCTTTTGATGTCATTTGACTGAGGAACGCCGATAATGAAAAAAGAGGTGGGAGCACTGCTCAACTGCAATGCTGCATACTTTTCCATATAAAGACACGATGAATTGATTCGGAATGTAATGCTTTCATCGCTCAATGCGATCGACAAATCGCTCCCCGTACCGTCTGCGTTTTGCATGCTCTGATTTCGGGGGGCTTGTATTGGGAAGAGGGCTCCTATAACTCTGTACCGTCGAAAGGGGGGTTTGTATTGGGAAGGAGCTACTAATAGGTAGTGGGCTTTTATTGGGCATCTCACGGCACCTAAACGCTAGCGTCTTGCGCATCGACAACTCATTTGCTCATGCGAAAGGGCGAAAATTGCAACGTGCCCAGACTTGCGGTAACGTAATAGCGGCAACTATTGCTTTCATTTCGTGTGCGTAAGGGAGTCGCCCTTTGTCTCGAGGAGCTTCTGGCTGTTCTTCATCGCGATGATGCCCGCCTTGAAAACTTTGCCATGCCTGTGGCGCTCATTCTCCTCGGAAAGCACAATATCTTTAGTCTCTTGATCAGAGCCGGGGTATTCTAGCTGAATGCCAGGGAAGCTTCCTCCTTGCTCCATTCGGGTTTCGAAAGCCTGGACTTTCGGGCCATGCCAACTTATGAACTCGGAAAACCGGCAGGACGAACCGCCCTACAGACAGATCGCATTCCCGACTGGTGCCGTAGTTATTCCTCGATCCTCTCGCATTCCGAAATCAGGCTGTTCTGAAAACGTTCCGATCGGTATTCTGCCTGGGACATTTCTCGGAGACGAATGTCTGATGGCGACTTGGCGGTCTCATATCCTTAAGACGGTTTACTCCACGGGCGATGAGCCGATGTGACTGCCTAATTCTTTATGATATCGAGAAGGTCAAAGGTATGACAGAGCCCCAGATCGATTGACGGGAATATCGCTCCCGGATGCGCTTGAGATGTTCGGTTGCCCGCTATATGATCGTATCACCGTCGTGCACCCTCGTCGTGTCTACGCATCGACCAGGTATCAGGGTTTCGATCAGATGACGAGTAAGGGGAATCCCTCTGAGTGGCCCAATAATGGTCGAGCAGTGGCCAATAGCAGTTCCAGCGTTGATAAAGATAACTCGCATGCAGCTCATCAATCACCACCGTGGAAGAGTTCGACGCGTTCAGTCTGCCGTGAGTGGAAGGCGCGCCGATGCATCGACGCCTGCTGAATGGGAGGGCGATCTCGGTTGGTTCAATGGAACATTCAGATTCTGGCTCCCTGAATCGCACGACATTATTCTGTCGGCCCTCGAGGCTTTCCTGTGATCTTCTGCGCGAGAGAGTATTGAAAAAGGGGAAGTGAGATGTCTCTCTCATCGCGTTCCTCCTCAGCGGGGTGTTCTGCCTATGCTATGTTCATCAGGGCCAAAGATGCCATCAAATTCTCCCTCCCTCAGCGATATCTTCGCCACGCCAAGTGCCGATGCACTCTCGCCAGACCGACTTTAGACTAAAATAGGATATCCCCCCTTCTCTGAAACGTCATGTCTGTATCGTCACTGAGCTTGTAGTTTGATTATTCTTAAAAGGAGGACCAAAGTTTCTTGCTCTCGAGTTTGAGACCTATCGTGTATTCTATATATATGCTCTGACATCTTGACTATAAGTTTTACGTTAGCAATAATTATTCGGATGGATGTGACGATGTCACTCCATTCACTTGATCTATTCAGTTTGGGTCGGAATCGACCCTGGTCTCACGGAGTCGTGAATATTACACTTGATGTCCATCCGGGAATCCGCGCCAAGGAGGCGTGGCACTCATAAGAATAGATTTTACATATCGAGAAACTACGGCCGAAACCGAACAGAGTCTCCATGAATTATAATAATCGTTGAAAAAATTCGTCAAGAACTGAATGAAGAACTCTTCTCCTCTTTGGCTTATCGACTTTTCAATATTGTAAGTGAACACATAGGTGCACACTGAACGCACGCCAAACCAAAGACACAGCAATCTAAACTCACGGAAACAAGAGCTCATTAGCATTCCGAGTTGAACCCCCCGAGTTGAAGGTGAGAAAAGCCATTCCTCACGGATTTTCACCGGAAGCGCTCCACTCTCTAAAGGTATGTATATTATGCTCTGCATCACGATGCTTTCTAGTTCACGAAAAGACATTTTTGGGGGAAGACAGCTCCCGCTGGAGATGAGGCAAGATTTGCGATGACGTGGAAACAGGAATTTTTGGCGTTGAAAAGTTATAATTAAATCCCACTCTGTCCCGCATTCAGCACAGCACAGAGTGGACCGCAGCACGGCAAATATGAGTTGATTGAAAAACATTTTGAGATCGTCTGTCTTTTGTGTTCAGTGGTAGTAAAAGAGGAGGCGGCGATGATAGCGACTGGGCGGCAGCATCGCCGAAGCGAAGAATTGAGAGCACTTTGAGCTAGTTCAACAGAGTGTAGAAATCGACAGTTCCTTGATTTTGCCCTCTACGGCGCAACAATTCACGTCGCGGCAGAGCAGTAGTACGTAGCAGCTGCACTCCGATCGGGGAACGAACTAGACGGAACTCGTGTCCCTCGAGTTCCGGACCGTTTGCTGGTCTCGACCAGTCAAATTCGCCATAAATTAAGCTTTAATATTTTACGCGCTTTCATGTGATTAACAGTTCTCATGTGTGGGAAGTTTCCACACGGAATCCATCTCCGACGATTCTTTCATCTCATCCGGTAACGATAATAAACTATCACAACAGTTGCATGTGGAGCTGCCCGTCGTTGTCGACGAAGGTGGTGAAAGTAAAAGCGTAGAGGAGACCGCCTCAATTTCCTTGGTCACCTCGGTATTGCTTCCTGTGATTACGCTATCCATCAGTGCTCCATGTTCTCCCCCTTCTATTCCGTTCCGGTTCAGCTTTCTCTTATAGATTTGACTAGGAATATTCTGCTTTGAAGATTCAATGTCTTTGGGTGAGTCGAGCGATTCACTTCGTTTGAGGAACACTATTTCTTTTCTCCGCTCCATATTGAACAGGCTAAGTAATCGAACTAACAAACCGTTCCCTCGATTCGCTCATCTAGTTGAGAAACTCTGGGGATTTTTTTCTCTCGTTTGGGACTCGAATCGCTCGGACTCACTCAAGGAACATTCGGTGGCAGAACCATTTTCTGTGACGGTAGCCAACAACGCCAGAAACTGGCGAGGTGTAGCGTGTTCAGCTGAGTGCTGCTGATCGGGGACGTCATCGAAACCTCGGTCGTCGCCATAAAGTGGGAAGTTTGTCTGGCGCTTCCCTAGTGCACCCCGCTGGGAGGTGCTAGAGTCGGTGCCAGAAACCCCCTTTCAGGAGATAGAGGTGTTGCACACGATGAGCTCGACGACGCTTCTCGGATCACCGACCGATGAGGTGTCAGCGGCGTTAGCGGCGACGTGTACGGACTGCATAAACTGCTGTCGGGCGAGCGGCAGCTCGACCTCAGCTCACGCTCTCTCTCCTCCTGCTGTATCCGATGGAACTCGTCGGAAATTTCCATGTGGACGTAATCGTATCCGGCTCGCTCGAGCTCCATGTCGAGAACCAGGTTCGGTTGGCAAGATGTCGTTTTCCAATGCGTCCGAAGACCGGATGCCGAGATGTACTTCTTGTTGCACGTTTGGCACGTATACGGTCGTTCGTTCGTATGGAGTCTCTTGTGGAGTTTCAGATGCACGAACTGCGTGAATTTCGCGGGACAGAGGTCGCACGCGTAGGGCTTCTGACCCGAATGCAGCCGCAGATGGGTTTTCAGGTTCGACGTCGAGCTGAATCGCTTCTTGCAAACATCACACTGATGGGGCTTCTCGCCCGTGTGCACCAGATGATGTTTCTGCAAGTGAGCCAACTGAGTGAAGCTCTTGGCGCAGACTGGACACTTGAATGGTCTTTCGCCAGAGTGGGTTCTCAGGTGAACTTTGAGATTCGATAATTGGCCGAAGGTCTTCATGCAGATGTTACACTCGTAGTGCATTTTGCCGTCTTTCTTCTTCAGTGGGTACGGCAGCGATCGGAAGCCTCTGGCATTCGATCCGGGACTTCCGAGGTCGGACATGTTACAGTCGCTCGCCGGCGAGGGGGGTTGAGATTTTTCCGGGGACGGGTTGATCTGATACGATCCTACCATCGGCGAAGAGGGCATAGCGGAATTCACATCGAACGCTGGCGGTCCAGCTATCAATCGCTGATCAGCCATGTTGGCGGAAGCGGCGGCATAGGGGGTTATGACCGGGTAATGGGGGGAGAACATCGGGTACGAGCCGTACATCGGGGCCGCCGTCGGCAGCGGTCCGGGAGCATTTGTTGAATCCGGCGAATGCAACTCACGACGGAGATTCGTTTGGACCGGAGGGACTCTCGGGGTGAACTCTTCGCCCTCCATCGGTAACGTCAAATTCGACGTGCTGACGGTCGAATCGTTGGCGATTATCACGCGTGTGGGTTCTCTTAGCGGGGGTGACTCGGTTATGGGCTGAACGATCTGCAGTCGTTTGTCTTTCTCCGCCTGTAGCCGCTGCATGAGGAGATTCTCTAGGATTCCAGACGATGGACTCGTGGGTAAGGTGGTGGAACTCTCGTATGATTGGAAAGCGGAGCTCCTCTCGAAAACACCTTCGACGCTAGGCGGAGCCAAACGGGTGATCTGAGCTCCGTCTGAGCTGCTCTCCAGCTCGGTCTGTGTCACCGGACTGCTCTGCTTCGGACTGCAGACGGCCTGGGTTTCAGTGGAGCTCCGACTGGACATTTTCGCGTTGAAGGCTTTGGGCATCTTAATTTTAACTTTCCGGAACTCGTTCCGCTCGTTTTCCGATTGGTAGTCCTTCGACTTTTTCCTTACGGACACGTTCCGCGGCGGTTTGCTGCTGAAGTCGAGGACGTAATCCGAGCAGTCGGACAACGCGCCTTCCTCGTCTTCCGAGTGTGATGGGGGTGTGTGACGATCGCTCGTCGATTGATAGCCCTCATCGCTCTTCGATCCCGGCGGTGTGAGCGGCTGGGGTTCTTCTAGCTCTCGCTTGATTTTCCCGTTTTCGGCCGTAGAGCTGACTTGTTGAGAGGATTCTTGTTGTTCTTCCGCTTCGTGCTCGTCGAGATCCATATGTCGGTCTTGCAGCTGATCCTTCGAATCTTCGTCGATGTGAGGATGTTGTTGCGAGTCCGTGATTTGTTTTCCTGGAACGGAGCGATCCCGGGACATTAGACACGCGGTGAACGGAAGATGATTACGTCGGATCGCGCTCCCGATTCAATACTATCCAGATCGGTCGTTTTTCTAATCGAGACGAGCGAACGAAGATTTTCTCGATTTCTGATCGTTTCCGTTCGAGAACAAATCGACACGAGGTAAGGGCGGTGAGCGGAGCGGAGAGATCGGGAGTGGAATCTGCAATGCAGGAAACCCTCGAAAGCGAAACACTTACGAATTCGCTGGAGCATCAGCTCTCCTGTGACTGGATAGTTGAGTCTCTCAGCAAACTCCTTGCAATACCACACGAGCAGCTCTTGGTCGGGTGCGATAGGCTTTATTGTGAAGAAGTAGATCTCCCCGTGGAGTTGACACGCGACAAGATTCTGGTTTTCACTCGAGTAAGCTGGATTGACGAATCTCATCCAGTTTGCTCTCATGACATTGAACCCGTCGACGTAATGGTATTCATCGGTCGAGGAATACACTCGCCAGAAGTATTTACGGTTGGCGTTCGGCGGAACTGAATCCTTCTCGTAACGATCGCCGGTCAGCGGTCCGAAGCGCGTTCCTCGGGGAATGTAATCCGTGCTCCAAACACCGACCACCTGTAAAGCACATCTCGCTGTAAGGCTTATCCGCGAGCCGTAGGATCTAGATCCCACATCATGAATTTTCATGAGTCGAACAATCGCTAGCAGTACGTTCCCCGCCGCGAAAGTGAGAGGCATTCCCCTGCAAGTGTGCGGAGTTGATCCTGCTATCTGTGACCTTCAGGTTTAAGAGTTCCCCGCAGGCCATCTATTCACAGACATCCTACGTCGTCGGTTCAGTGACCTCAAAACGCCAAGATATGTGACCTAGCGAGGATAACATCGGTCCAAGGTAGGGTTGCTCAATCGCTAGGGCACTTGACAACTTTTTGAACGCTCGCCTTAATTCCATCGTTTTTTTTTCTCTCGAGGATCGGTGCTAGCTTGTATCAAGCCCAGGCTTCATCGAAAATCATCGCAATCGACACCGCGGTCAGACTTACATCTTCGAGGGTCTGTGAGGGTTTGAGCACGAGATTCCTCGGCAACGAGGCTTCGGCTCTGTTCCTTGTTTCGTCATCTGCACAAGGCTGATCAGGGACTATGTACACCGCTAGCTGCTCGAAATTCTCCTCGCGAATCTGCGTGAGGTCCAACACCCCGCTCTCTGTGAGCGGAGCTTGCATTTTCACTACAGTTGACATCATTGAAATCTGTAAGAGGGCAGGAAGTTAGAGGACATGTTCTATATTTTAAAATCGGCGATATCGTCTCCGCGAAACTCTCACGGATCGATTGGAGAACACGAATCAGCGCTCTCCACATCGGAAGTGCCCCGTGGGGGGCCTTTCTGGGATTTCGTTCGCTCGGTGGCTCGCGTGGGTACATTCTCACCGATTCCTCAAACAGAGAGGAGAATTTTCCCGGCGGACATCGGAGCCGCGCTCAGTGAGTTCGGTTTCCGTCAGCCTCAGAAAGGGACGATCTCCAGTTTGCTCCAGAGGGCGACTTCAACGTGACTCCGGATACTTTTCCTCGGATGTAACGAGTTCGAGAGCCGCAAGGTGCACCCGCACGAAATCAGAAACGAGACCGAGACGCTATCGAATTACTTTGTATCCGTCTAATCACGACGTTTGCTCGGCCGCCTGCACGGCTGCTTTCCTGGCCGTCGGTCGAGCAAGGATTCGAACGCAACAGCGATCCTTTCGTGGAGTCCTCTCTCCGTTCGAAGGGAGGCCTCTCCGGCAACCATGCAAACTGGTTCGTCACCTGCCGGTATACCAGCGGACGGGCGGACGGACGGTCAGTCGGTCGGTCAACCGACCGATCGGCGAGCTCTCCCACTTCCTTGACTGCCCGATGGGGGAAGATGGCAAAGCTCCGAGTATCTTGCGGATATCTGACTTAAGGAGAAGATTCGAGCGTATCGTCCACCGCGGTGAAAATCAGCGAGTGCAAGAAGGAGAACAGCTGATGGGAAAGCGCGAGTAGAATGTTGACTCTTTATGTGGATGTCGCAACTTCAAAATTTTATTTTCTATGAGGAACGAAACGCTGCGAGTCGGCGCATGGGCAAAAACGGTACTCAAGACAGGCATTGTTTTCTCTGTATTGCAGAGTGTCTGCTGTCTGCAGCCCGCTTGTCCCTGCGACTGTCGATTTGTCTCCTTCAGAGTTCTTCTGGAACGGAACCGGCGGCACCGCAAATTAGTGAGACGTCCTTTCACCCTTCCGCTTCCGTCAAGGGCGACGGCATTCGGAAATTTCAAAGTCATGGTCCTTCAGCTTCAGACACGTAACTTTTTCATCACTGCATCGCAGCTCACAGCGATGCCGATGTGAGCTATTACGTCTCGAGGATGGGACGCCGACCGTCCACGAATTTCGAGCCGATGCCGGGCGAATATCCGGGGCTGCTTTCCCCGAGGAATCAATGTAATTCGACTGGGATCCCGAGCCCCGATTCAGAGAGGCGAAGACCTGTGGGCTCTCTCCTTCGCGCATAGAAATCACTCGGTCCGGTCCCATCGGACTCAACATTTCGGGTCTACGTAAAATTCCGTCTATTGGGTGCATGTACGGCTCTTGACACCCTTGTCGAAGTTTCGAGTCGAGCAGGATCGAGGAGACACGGGAGGCAGGGAGCGATTGGAACACACGGCCGTGATTGTTGACGCGCCATCTCACAAGGGGTCAAGTCCAAGGCCACCGAGTGCGGTCGTCAAGATCGTGATACCGGAGCACTTTTACTCTCTATCTCGTTCAATGGACTGTCGACAAGGACCGACCGATTAGTTCACGTGTTTCGGCTCGCGAGCACACGATTAAACTCGACCTACGGTTTTAAAACCGCATGTTCCCGCCGGAAGTTGAAAAAAATTATATCACGTGTGTGCTTTCTCGGACACCGATCCACGAACGCTCCGAGCGTGAATTGAGAGCTCCTCCTATACACCGAGAGCCTGTGTCGACGAGGGAAGTCTTCCGAAAGAAGCTCGAGCTCGAGCCAGTCGTCGAGCCTGACCGCGATAGCGCATTCACTCCGGAACGATTTGACGGAGAGAAAAAGCTTCAGGGCTATGGTCGAGATCGACAGGATACTCGATTGTAGTTACCTTCGGCACAGATACCAATGGCCGCTAGGAATCGAGAGCACTGATTTCAGAGGCATTGGGTTTCTTGAGACATTTGAGACGACAGACGTGAGGGTGACACGGCATCTAGCAACAATCTGCTCTTGGAAGAGATTTGCGCTCCAACCACCCACCCACCCGCTCATCCACCCATTCACTCACTCACTCACTCACTCGACGAGCCAAGAGCCGTCCTCCTGGCCAACCACTCAGGAGAACTCGAACTCCGCCCTCGGCAACGAGGAGGCGGAGCGAGCCCGCCGGTCTGACTCCTCGAGTGACTCCTTTTCTTCGCAAATGAATTTTCTTAGCGAGCAAGACAGTGATTGACGGAGAAACTGTCGAGGTGTGAAAAATATATTTCCTCAGCTCACTCGTCCGCCGGTACTTCCAGCGCGAGCGTTTGCGTCTCTGATTCTAGATCGGAACGATCCGCTTCCCGTCGATCAGCTGGATTTTGAGCTTTTCGACAAAAAAATTCGCCCATACTCCGCCAGGAGACAGAATCGACCGGATCGCGTCGGACGCGGGAAACTGTCGAGCACATGTGGCCAGCTCACCTAAAGCATATCCATTGAGTCACAACACTTATGTCGATTTTAAAATCCACTTTAGCTCAGTCACTCAGCAAAAATTCCCGCATGTACGGGGAACGTATTAGGTCTAAGTTCGCCTGTTCTGTTGTGCTTAATCCGAAAGAGTGGTGATCATCGAGTTGTCATGTCGCTGGCTCCGGCTCGCAAGGCGAGTTCAACGCTCTGGCCGTCGGTTCAGCGCACTTCACTCCGCGGCTTCGACTTCACTGGTTTCGGCGGCAGCGACTCGGGACGACGTGCGCTCGCGTCGACGTTCGACTACGTAATGATCTTCTGGTTCTGGCTTCTGGTCGCTGCACCGGCTTCGGTCACCGGCCGTAAGAGGCGCTTGCGTCGTCGTCGCCGACGTCGTCGTTCAACGTCGATCCAACCCAACACTTTGCCTTCCGCCGGGTGAAGTCGTTGCCGCCGGGGTGTACCGTTGTTGTTGCAGTTGCTGCTGCCACCGATGCCGCCGCCGCCACCGCTTCTGGGTTTTGGTTGGCGTTTGCCGGAGAATCGAGTGGCAGACCTAGCGGCAAGCAAGCCAGCCAGGCCACCGAAAAATCAACTAGCCGGTACCCACCAAGGTCGTTGCATAACTTCTACTTCTCCTCTTTAGGCGTACGGACACGACGGCGGCGTTGGCGGTGGCGACGACGACGACCGGCGTACGGACAAAGTCGCTGGAGGCAAACCTCTTCAGCGGGCGATCCGATCGTTCGTTCGCTTTCCACCCCGGAGGGTCAAGTGCAAGGCCACATCCGGCCTCGTTTCCGCTTATGTAACATCACACAACACCCGTTTATTCTCTCGCTTATATCCTCGAGCGAGCAGAATCAAGTCAATTAATTATAATCGTGTCCGGTTGTCTATTATAGAAGGGTTTGAATGAATAAACTGTTTGGAATATCTATGAATGGATCGCCACTCTACTGGGAGGAATCGGCGATCTGTCTGCTTTCCGGTCCTAGAACTTCGACTCGGAATCGGTTTTTCCTGCCGGGAAAACTCGGTTTTGCCACCGTGAATGCTTCTGAGCGCCTCCACCGTCGTTGATTCGGCCCGAAATTCTATCTCGTTTCAGGGATGGGGCTCCATGTTTATTCGTCCGCGACGATAAGTCTTCGTCTCGAGGAAAAGGGGGTACAGAAGGATTTTCCTCTTCCGGAGAGAGGGGAAGAATCAATTTCGCCGATCAGTGGCCCGACGACGAAGCGGAAAGTGTCAAAGCTCCGCAATGAAAGACGTGCAGTGGCCGAACTCGGCGAGAATGGGGGTGGGGATGTGGGGGGAAATAAGGGGGGGATGGAGACTTCTGGGGAGGAGTCTTCAAGAACGACGACAAGGAACAACTGAGTCGTTTGCTTGTTCGCACGCTCGCTCGCTCACTCACTCAGTCAGTTGCTCGCGAAGGACAAATATAAACATCAACAGAGTTGAGTCGGGATCGATGTCGTTCATAGAAAAAGATTCGATTAGCCAGACGACGACCAAGTAGCACTCTGCTATTTACTCTCTCGTTGCCTCTATACACTCCCTTTTCCATGACCGAGGTCTAAGATCGCATCAACACTCCCCTAAGCGAGTGAGCCCATCGAGTGCTGGTGTCCTGATGAAAGAGAACGAACCGAATTCAATAAGAATCGAAAAGAAGAAAAAAGCGAGCTCGAAGAACGAATCCGAACCGAATCCCTCTCTAGCTCCTATAGCGCACGAATGAACAAGAAAGCAAGGCAAGAAGACCCCGCTGATGGTTCGGCTGGAAGTTAAAAAGGCGCCAGGAAGCGAGCGAGCGAACGCACTCTTTATCTCGACTGCTTTTAACGTGTGTAAGTGATCAGGGACTCTATGCAAACGGTGAGTAAGTCTTTGATCTCTGACATCTCCTGTTGACTTTCCTCTTCGTCCTCTTCGATTTCCAATTCGCGGGCTCCCCACGACGGACGACCACCGCAACGCCAGTTACAGGATTCACTCAGAGCTCGGAGGACATGAACACTCGGGCAGGTACCGCCGAAACCGGAGCAATGATGGCTTACACCGATCGGACGAGAGTGCCGTTTCGCCGAGAGTCGACCGCCCAAATCACTGAATGATTCTTGGAATGAGGAAAATATTTCTCGGAGTGTGTTGTCTGATGGGGGAACGTCGATCTTAGAATTTGCTCCAGGATCTCGCTCCATTCGGATGTGTCGAAGTGTTGAAGTGGTTTTTCCACGAAGTGTTTCAGATTTTAAGTGCTTTTAACTCACAAAGAGATCGCGGGACCGTCAACTCGACTGGCGACTTGTTCGCCCCTACTGGCCAAACAAGCGGTGGCCAATGGCAATCGGAGTGTCCCTTTTGATACGGCTCATTGCTTGTCCCGACCCGAGTTGTCGACTGGCTTGCTGACTGACCGATAACTTTCTTGGCGCACATCTCTCGAACTGACCATCCGAGGAAAAATCATCTTTGAAAGTGGCCATGCCTCCGAAGATGAGCATTAAAGTCCTCAGCACGGGCCGAGCTCGCACAAAGTCAACGACTTTGCCTAAAAAACTTCATACTCCAAAACTGAGCAATTACAGAGTCACGGTGCCGCTCTACCCGGAGGTGTCGCACCGGTCGGAACCAATGATCGAGTTCGTATTTACCAGTTATCCTTGGGAGAACAGGTTGGCTACGTCGCAGAGCAACTGTATTCCATGAAACGAAAGCGTCAATTCAACCATGAAAGAAGCGATGTTGTGCACCTTTCTCTATGCGCGGAGACTCTGATCTCAAAAAAGGTTAAGTTCCTCCTCGTAGTCGGACTTCCCTCTCCGAAATGACTACCTCCTCTCATCGGATCTTCCGGGTTTGAATCTCCGAACTCTGGTGATGGTGGCGGAGGTGGTGAGGGGTCACTCTTCAGCCGTCCGCTTACTCCGCCCCCAGCCTCGGTCTTCAGGAACAATCGCAACAATCTCTTTCGAGCATTTTCTCATCCACCAGCCTCATCCTTATTTCATGGGGAAATAGAATTTGGGCACCGCATGTCGGAGCAACAATGGGTTTTCACTTGATTTTCCGATTTGACATAATAGTCCGCGAGCGTAATATGGGTCAATCGGAGTCAGCCGATGCGGGAATGCCTCCTGGGATTGGACACAAATCGGAGGATAGAGTTCCCGGGAGCCGCAATCGAAATTACCGATATCTTAGGGCACTCGCTCCCTTTATTCATCTCCTACCTATGGACAAGATTTAACATTTTTTTTCCACTCGCGCGTCGTCGAGAAACAAAGATCAAACGTGGCCTAGCACGCAGATCCAGACGAAAGTTTTCAGTAACGAACAAGTGTGATCGGTTTCCGCGTGCGCGAGACGATGATGTGGAAACAGACGATCATTTTACGTCATGCGTCTTGTTCTGCAAAGATATTCGATCTCTTTGCGTTGGAACGGAACGCCGCGTGATGCTCCTTGGATTCTTCTTGAAGTTCCAGTTCGGAGGGCTCGAATATTCTGCACTCCGAAAGGGCTGAGAAGAGACTCATGAAAAAAAGTTCGGGACAAGGAAGTCAGATCGTGTTTGAACGAATGAACCGAGCGGTGAGAGAGCGCCGGCGAAAAGAGACCTACTCGGCCGCAGCGAGTTAGGTGGGGTTAGATCACTCACTCACTCACTTGATCGGTCAGTCGGCTGCTTGGATCCCCCGGTCACCCAGAGGAAGTCTGATGCCTTCAATACTACCAGCGCTACTCGCACACTTTGGCCAGATGTGAGTATTTCTGATGGAGCGCTCTCCAGGCTTGCATAGCGAGGCATGCCGTAACTCTTCTAATTGCGCGAGGACCATGTGGGAACGCAGGCGGAAAATTCCTCTTTCTCTTGGGGAGAATTTTTTTCAGAGGATCCTCTCGGTGATCTCTGCACTCACCCACGTCAGCGCAGAGGGGCAGTGTCGAAGGACATCGATCACAAGCAGGTGATCATCATAGACTCGGGAATGAAGCCCCGGAATCCCGTCGTATCTTCCTCGAAGCGGGAAGAGGTCGTTCCACCCGAATAGTCGGAGAACCTCCTGGTCTCACAGCCAGACCGCATCCTTCAGTTTCAATAATATCGCATCGCCCCGTTTCCGGCTCATTCGAACCGAAAGGGAGACAATCCCGCCCCATGAAACGCTCCGAGCGTTGATTCTGCCGAGAACTTATTGAAAATGTCGGCTGCCGTTATTTCCGTGGGCGACTGGAAGTTGCTGCTTTCCGCAACGAGCTGGCATCATACAGATTTCCGTTTAGAAGAAAGTACGGATGCATTACGAAAGAGCCCAGAAACTCGTGGTTGCTCGATTCACTCCACGCAGCAGACCGAGAAAGGCGACATGAGCTCTCTGCAGACTGTGTACGACGAAGTCTATTCTGTACACTGCCACGGGCTAGCACATGAAAAAACCGGCTAACGGTCACAGGGTCACACCAGACGGGCATACCGGAAGACTAGAAGCAACGGGTACATCTGAACAGAAGAAGCAGTTGTTACAATAAGAGCTTGTATGACGTAGTCGGGAGACAGTTGTCTGGCTCTTCGCAAGCGGCGGGCAAGGTCATTTTTTTCCGGCAGCTGTCAATCGAGAGCCGATAAATTTTGAATTCCATACGACCTCGATGAAATGATATAATAAACAATTTCCTCTGGCGGATTCAGGTTCGGAATTCAAGCAAAGACAATCGAAAGCTGAAAAAATTATTGTGCTGCATTGGCATAGGAGGAAAAAAGTGCACAGGACTCGGAAATAGAAAGTATGAAAGTATTAGGCCGCTGTCTGAGTTTGTATATGCCGGAGCGGTCTTCCTTTCCCCTAGGCGGAAGTGACTTACATAACACGGAGACACACATCGGCACCCGCTCTCGCATCGCACTCGTTCACCTCGACCGACAGGCAGGCATGCAGGCTGCCTGCCGGTGTTAGCTCACTCCGGTAGAGAATTCCCGATCCGTCGTCGACGACTAGAAGCCACCCTACCTCCTCCTCCACCTCCTACATCCCACCCACGACCCCAAAACTCATTCAGAATCGGGCAGGAGGTCGGTTGGCGGCTAGCGAGCTACGCTCGCTGCGGCCTTAGGAGGACGCTGAACCTCAATCGCCACCCCGTGACCTCATTTCTTGGGCGTTCGACTTCATCGGAAGC